CTTTTTGGAACGTAGCCAAATATCTACATAGGCTCTACACAATCACAAATAACCGGTCGAATCAGACTTACTTGGTATTCCAGATTAATAATTAATCGATAAAAATATATACAATTTAAATATTATTCATAATTATTTAAACTTACCTAGTATTCTGTAAAAATTATTATCCTTAAAACACCGACTGTTTTTTGGTTCCCAGAGAATATATGAAGTTGCTTCCTTCATATGGACACTAGAAATAACGGGACGTTTTGTATACGAAAATGTTTAAAACGCGGGAAAACTGGGGAGAAAATTCAGCGGATTGATACGTCAGGCCGACATGGATGTTGGCAGCGTACTGGGTAGGTTTTGGCAGAAGGGTTACTTATCTAGTCCACCTATAATACTGTTGTACGGACCTTATATTTATATTGTAATGGTTCTATTACTGGAAATATGCAGGTGTTAACCAAACCGTCATAATATAATAGGAAATGTTTAAATAATTGAGAATAGTTGGGATAAAATGGATTTAAAAGATTTCTAAGGGTGAAAAATAACAACGTTTAGGGATAAAAAATACAAACAGTATGTGGTTTTGTTATTTTTTATCTATATTTTTTAAAACAATCCAGCATGAAAGTTTAATGATAAATCTTCAATAAATGTACATAGAAAACGATCTATAGTCCCCTTACGTTGCAGATATTTTTGGGCGAAGGGACATCATTTGCTTCTTTTAAACATTAATAATAAAGATATCAATATATTTTAAAGTACATAAATTTACATAAACTTTCAATATAAAAACCCTTTTTTTAATCGTCATATTCACTGTAAAATAAGCTTTTGATCGTTCAGTTAATTCTGATTTCTGACGCACAAAATTACTCGCGACTTTTGGTTTATCAATCTCATCATATTTAAATTGTAAATTATTTTCAAATACGAAACGAATATTTCTTCACATTCATAAATTATACATAATAATTTATGATAACGCTATAAAAACTTAATCTAGAAATTTTCTTGAATAGTTTTCCTAAACATTTATATAAAACTGTGTTTTTCATACGTATCAGACACTTTCATCTCGTCTTCCTGTCATCGTGAACGTTGAAAAGTAATCCGAAACTTCAAATAAAATGAAAACAATCAATTAAATATGGAATACATAGTTTTTAAGGTATTAAAAAATTAAACAAAATATTAGAGTACGCAGAATTTACCACAGCTGGCAGTAGTTTCAAAAGTAATATATTAGTTTTACAATATACAGCATATTAAAGCTTAGTTACGACGCATACTAAATCTTCATGAAAAGTTATTGTCATTGAAACGATATTTTAATGACAACAAATCCTTAGGATGATTACCGCCGTGATGGAAATATTGAATTTCTATTCTTAATTTCATCTTAAATTATGAATCGGATTGACAATTTTATTTGTTTTCTAATTATATTTGTTTTCCGAGTGATTATACAATTTAGTTAATCGCCTCAATATGATTGGGTATCGATCTGTCTCCTAGAAGCCTGTATATGAAATATAACTTTTTCTTTTTAATTTATATAAATTATAATTAAAAAATAATACAGAAAACATTGTTTCATAATGATATCCAATTATCTAAGACTTTCGCGTGTAGATACATATTTAAATGAAACAAGTTTTTGCGGTACTACGAGTTCTATTTATTTGATTTGTACATGGTAACGGCGTTCGGATAACTTTTCAGAAGCCTTTTGATACAAAAAGCTTCATTGAAAAAACATGCACTTGTGCAGTAATCAATTATTGATGAAATTTCTTTTAATTTACCTATCAACAAGTCAAATTTGGATTTTTCTACAGAGTGGTGAACAAGCATTATTTTAAAGTCATTTTTTTGTAAATGTTTTATGATTGCTAGCTTAATAAATTGCCAATATAAAATAAAAGCTGTTGGGTGCGAGTTGAATTAGTGCACTAAGTGTTCCGTATTATTAAAAATTACACACAAGCTTTGTTTGTTTTAATAGAAATAGGTTCATAGTGTATGAATATTTCAACATCAATGTTTATGAATTACAGCTTTCTGACAGAAAATTCTAGGGGTCTGTTTAACCCTTTTGTTAGTGAACTTTAATGGAAATAATAAATTCTTATTTTTTGTTTTAATTTTGCACCCAATCTATTTACACTATAATTGATAAGCCGGGGCAAGAATTAATTTTATGATTCCATACTAGAAATGAACACATTCCCTGTATCTAATCATGTTAAGTAGAATAAAACAAATCAAACTAGTCACAATAGTCTAAAAGTTATACTTTTAATTCTGATCAAATGAATAAAGTTTATAATTTTTCTTTTTTCTATATAGTAATTTAATTTGTACCGCCTTAAAGTTATTAAGGCGTCTTATCTTCAAAACAATTCTCATTGATTAAATCACTTCATATGATTATTCCATACTAGCTTTTATCGCGACTTCGTCAGCGTGGAATAGTGACTTCCGACAGATTTTTGGTTCTTCCCACATAGTTCCCGTTCGTGCGGGGTTTTAGGAATGGTCGAATTCCCGTAGAATTTTCAGGATAAAACCTAAGTTTTTTTTATTCACAATAAAGTACTCTTAACCAACAACATATTTATTGTTTATTTGAATAAAGATTAATATTATTATGTTGATACAACTTAAACAAATTATTTCGACCAAATTAGGTACCATAAAAACGGTTTTTGTGAGTTAATCTTAAAAGATAGACATATACTGTCGCGGAGTGTTTTTTAGATCTTTAAAAGAGCTATTATTCTTTAACACATATTTTTTGTGTATATTGAACCGTTTTCACGGCGCACGCAACGAAAGGCTTCAAAGATGAAATAATTTCTCCCGTTTTTTACACATTTACCACTATATCTTTGCTCCTATTGGTCGTAGCGTGATGTTATATAGCCTACAGCCTTCCTCGATAACTGGACTATCCAATACAAAAAGAATTATTCAAATCGAACCAGTAGTTTCGGAGATTAGCGCTTTCAAACAAACAAACAAACAAACAAACTCTTCAGCTTTATAATATTAGGGCGATTTCAGACTAGCGTTTTTTTCAGCGCGTATACGGTCGTTTCAGTATACGCGCTTACAGGCGCGCTACATTACGCGCTTCAAAAAACCGGACGCGCGTAAACGCGCATATTTCGGCGTGTTCGCTCGAACCGGTGGTATCGTGTCAGTATCAACATGGATTCTGACGAAGAAACATTACTTTTTGCGTTACTTATTCGCCGTCGACTGAGACGACGGAAAAAGTGCTGGGTGTCACCGATAGTTGCATCAAGACTGATAACCGGTCACTTTAATACACTTTACCCAGAACTGCGAAGTGATTCTAAACGATTTAAAAATTACTTTAGAATGTCTTGAGCACTTTTGATATATTGTTAAATATGTTAAAATCACAGTTAGAGCATACGCTCACGCTTATACGAGCTTAGAAGCGCGTCAACGCTCGTACGAGTTGAGCGTGTGCCAAAAGGCGCGCCTATACGCGCCTACATGCGCTTCCAAAAACCAGCTCATACGCGCGTATAAAACGCTAGTCTGAAACCGCCCTTAGTATAGATTATGTGTGTGTGTATAGAGGTATAATACACTTTTGATACAAACAAATAAAACAAATTAAGTAAAATAAAACAAACAAATCACGATTTTTCATTTATTTCGAAGTAATTCTTATGATTTTTTTTAATACAAAGTAATTCATAATTCAAATTGACTTAACGCATTTCTACACTTAAGGATTTTTGTGCAAAACGATGAGCATGACGTATTTAAAAAAATATATTATAAACATTTTCAAACTCTACTCTATAAATGGCTAAATTAAATACATTTATATATAAAAAAAAAATTAAATACTAAAAAACTGAAAAATAGATATATATATATAAAAAAATATGATTTTCTTTAGCGTCATACAATAATTAAATATTTACCTACAAACATACAGATGGATAACATTTACTCTATTAAAGAAATTATCTTATATATACTACTTTAAATTTATTTAGAGTTACACAAAATCTATTCAGCATGTATGTCTATACTTAAAAAAATCCCAAAAAGCCTCAATAACATATTAACCAAATTTTTTTTTTATTCATAATCATAAACACACATATATTTAAACAGCATGAAATTATATACATCGCGTATTGATATGTTCCCTTCATATAAATTGGGATGACATACAAAGACATAAGCCTTTTAAAAATACAATAAAAAATAATAATAATAAATAAAATCTCTTTTAAACGATCTTTATTGCACTAGTGAGATTTTTGGTCACAAATAAAATCTATATAATTTTGGTGCTTAAACTGGTAAGCTGATACTAATATTATTAACATTATATTAGATTTTAACATCGAATACTATTTATTCTATATAACATCGACAAAGTTAAACTTATTAACACAAACACACAGAAATTCTTTGAAACCTTAATACATCTATACGGATTATATTGTTACATCAAATGTAACTAACACCATATAATATGAGAAAGCGAAATTTGTATTGTACATACAAAATAATATATTTTATTATAAATTATAAACAGCCAGTCTCATGGAACATAAAACCTTATTTTAATCTGTGATAACGACATGGCAGTTAAGAAAAATAAAAATGAAATTTAAAAAAAAAAACGTCAAAATGAATGATTTAATGCAAGTGTCAATGTCAAACTAAAACCCACGCGTTGACAGATGGGACGAAAATCTCATTTCACCTACCAATGTAACATACAATTTAAAACGAATCCTATGATATTGGGAATAAGGTACAATTTTTAAATCTTAATAAAACCTAAATGTATTATCCGAAATTAAATCGTGTATATTAAGCGATAAGACGTAATTTCCAATATATTGGAATTACGTTCTGGACTTTAAGGCATCAGTACAACTTAAAAAATCCAAGCTAAATTGAACCCAAATTATATCGAGATAAGGTTTAATATCTCAATAGAAGAACAGCAGTCGCTCTTGGGCCGTCCCAGAGAGCAGTCGCCAGCCGCGTTTGATGTGAAGGTATTGTACGACCGCGCGTACACAGATCACGATACCTATAAATATAATATCGATATGAAATTAAGACGCCATATGTATGTTAGTAGTAGACATATATAATAATTTTCCTTTATAAATATAACCAATCGTCACGGCATTTCCTAAAGATATAGTCGAATATTTTTCTTTGGTATTACGGAATTTGAATAGTATAACAAGAATACATATAAATATATATCGTTGGGGATAGTGCAATAATAAATTAAACACTATACAGGGTGACTGGTGAATTACTATCAATATTTAAGGAGAATACTCGGTACATGATTCTCATTCGAATTATGTAAAAAAAATAGGCACTTAATTTTTGACAAAATTTCCGTATAAATAAATAAAGTGTTGACACATTCCAAGTGTTCCAAGTGTGGACGCGTGCGGCGGCGTGCTGATACAACACGACGCCGCCGCACGCGTATGTGTGTGTGTGTATACCTAATCTGTAGGGTGTTCACACGATGCGTAATTAATTACATAACTTTTGGTTAACTTTACTTAGAAGTTTATTAATATTTATGTTATATTAATTTTTATTTTGTCATATATGATCGTCAAATATCACATCCTCAAGTATCGATAGTAATTCACCAGTCACCCTGTATAATTACTAATTGAGAAAAAATGTCAGCTAAAATTTTCTTCTGATAATCTGCTTCCAATGCAGATACGCGGAATTATCCAATAGTAGTTACTCAGATTTGCACTATCCCTGACAATAATTATATATCAAAATTTAACTGTAAATATTTACCAAAAGCCATTATCAGCCACCACAACCACGAATTCTCGTGAGAGGCTAGTTCAGTAGAATGTTTCACGATGAGAGTCCACTTGGCCAGAGATAGACCGAAACCAGCCAACGCACCGTAACGACTGGCTACAGTATGGCAGAAACACATCAGCAACAGAAAACCGATCCAATTGAAGAGGAATGCCACTGGAAATAAATATATACAGTTTAACTATTGATAAGTAAATGGACGCATATAAAGAAACATCTCTAAATGTATTTGAATATAGGAGTAAAAAGTATAACGACAATAAGATAAAATTGCTTGATAAACCTAATGAAGATTTATTTACAAAATTTATCTTGTCTCGATGGCATGACTATATTTATTAATATTACGATTAGTGTAGACTAGTTAATAGATCTGTGTTGTACCTACAGAATACATTTAATAATATTTCAATAAGAATTTAATTTTTAGTACTAATTTATTACAACAATGGAATAAAGTTATCTTTGATTGAATAATGCATAATATTTTTATATGATATTTATGGTATAAAAGTAAGTAATCATATTTTTGTTAGATAGGTAATGGCTTCATACTTTCTGACCTTTCCTTAATGTCAAGGACTGTTATACAATCATCAATAGTAGATATAGGTTTATGTATGTATAAAATTTTTGGTATCGTATTAAAATGAGCTTTCTTTAGATTTCAGTTTTACATTGTCTTTAAATATCATGATACCAAAACTTTCAAACTCATGGCCCTATTACGTATCGAATTGCTGCCTCAATATTTGTATTGTTTAAATTAAAATTTTTATATTGACTTAAACTGTAATTATTGTCAAATATATTTCTTAATAAAATGTTTTTCTATAATTTATAATAGTTACTTAAATTTTTATTAGTATAATGAGATCTAAGATTTTATCGAGTCTCATTCATTTAAATGAAACTAATATTTTTCGGATTAGTACATCCGTTTCACAGTTGCTGTAAAGTAGCCGAAAATTCGGTAGTATGTAGTTTTTTTTATCAAAAATAAAGTCGCGTAGTACTTCTGAAAAATATTAGTTTCATTTAAATGTTTATTAGTATTCAACACTCATGTTTGAAACTACTATCTCAAACCACGCTAGTTTCTAACAAGATAAGTCTCTTTGTATTTAAATGTATATTTTTTACTATTTTCCTTTATATACATCGAACACTATGTATGGTGAATTGTTAACATATAACAGTTTTATTACGTAACCGTGTATTTTTTATATAACGAAATATTTAAGTTTAAACAAATCACAAATTAATATCACAATCTTAAATTTTGGCCTACAAGCAAAATAACCAAAGGCATGAAATGAACAAAAAAAAGATATCAATTTGAATTTGATTAAATTATACATTGTTTCATTACAGAGGTGTTCTGAAACCCTTATCATTTTGTTTCATTGACTTCTTCCTATCTTTGTACAGAATTGGAAGCGATTCACCAAAAAATTGCTTTACTGAGTATGAAATCCTTTACAGAATTGTTTTTAGATCAGGTAAAGTACAATAAAGATATTTTTTATTGATATATTCATAAATCCTTACGCTGTTATAATTTACGTACAGTAAGGTGTTGTCTAAATAATTAATATAATTTATGAGAAAATATACAATCATATACCAACTTGGTTTATTTCGACAAAACTCACTCACACTTATTCGATTTATTTCTTATGGATATTAAATTGAAACGATTTTTTCTCTACATTATTTGAGATATTAGTACCTAAATTTACCAAAGATATTTCAGCGAAGAATAAAACAAAAAGTACCTACATACACATAGCACACAGACGATAACAGAGTATTATAAAAATACTTACCAAAGAACGAAGTCAGGAACATAATATCAGTTCCAAGCAATCCATTCTCTGGATCCAATTGTTCAGAGACACCCTCAGTCGCCTCCACCGTCACGTAGGCAGCTAAAGTCGCGTGGTTGGGAGGAGGTAGCTGGTAGAAAACAAATTGAAAACATCAATAATCATATTAAACTAAGAAAAATCAATATTAACGCAAGTTTCTTATCAATAATATGATTTTTTTGGTGGGATTTCGAACCGAATGGTGCCATAATTACAGTTGCGTTTGAATTGGACAAAATATATTTTTTTATTTGGAATGTGAAATTTTTAGACGATTGTTAATATTGTTTTGGAAATTTTGCGCCAGTATAGTATAAAATATTTTGTGATATCAATATGGGTACAGTGAAAAAGAAAACCTTATAACAGAAATTTAAAATCTGAATTATATTATTGAGATAAAATACAATTTTCAAAATTCTCTTAATTTTTTGTGTGATGGGCTATTGATAGATACAATAAAACTTCTTCTTATTGTGATAGACAAAGATCTGGCCGTCAACGTAATTTTCATACAAAAAAGACGATCGAGAATTTAAAGGAATAAATTCTACGAAATTATGTCCAGAAGCAAAAGATATTATCTCGTAAAACACAGATAGCATTTAGAAGAAACGTATAAATTAAAACTTTATTTAAGACTTCAGGCCTATAACAGTCCCGCTAATAATTTATTACTTGACTAGCTTTCCGCCCGCAGCTTCGCCGCGTGGAGTTCGGTTATATCGCGTTTCCAAGAGAACCTTTCAAAAGTCTGGGATAAAAACTATCCTATGTTCTTTCTCAAGGTCAACTCTATCTCTGTACCGAATTTCATTAAAATCAGTTCAGTGGTTTAGGCGTGAAAGCGTAGCAGACAGACAGACAGACAGACAGAGTTACTTTCGCATTTATAATATTAGTAGGGATAATAAAAAAAAGTTTTAGTCAGCCTATGGTGGTAAAACTAACAAAAACTACATAAGCAATACTTGGAGTTACATGTAACGAAATCGCTTTATTTATGCTGAAAAACCTAGGATAAGCTTCTGAATTAGTTAACAGAATCCAATGTATCCATTATTCAAATACAGCGATGGTCTGATTTAATGTTAGGTATGAAGAAATCACTATGAAATAGCTTTAAGAAAAAGGTACTAAAACATTGAATATAGTTTGTCAAGATATATGGCTCAAAAAGGAGCTAAGGCCTTTAACAACAGTATGTTAAATCATTAAGATCTTCCAACAAGACTTGGCGCCGTTCATAAATCACCATCCACCTAAATTTTGGTAAGAAACAAAAGTGCCGGTTTTTATCAGAGCTAAAGATTTTATCTCAGCTAATGGTCCGTTTTAAAGACTTGGTATAAACGCCGTATAAACTTAGATGTCCCTAAAGCAATCATTACGATTCGCAGTAAAGAATTTTCCTATGGTTATCGCGTTTGTTCCCATTGGTAACTGTTCTTAAGTTTTAAAGTGTATTGCAACCAATGGTAGTTCATATAAACGAATTAAAAGTACACACTAATTAAGATTTACTGTTACTTGCGAATTATTAAAGCAAGATTAGGTAATAATTAAATTTAAATTAAATATTATATAGTGAAGTATTCTTTAACAACAGTGAGATTCGAACTTGAAATATCGATTTACAGTTACTTTCTAATACCAGCAAGGTTTTTTAAATATTCAATATAAGAGTAGTATTTTATAAAAAAATAAGGGTTAAGGAAAAAATATGATGATATAAAGTAAATTACAATATTTTAATGAGCACGTATTTTTTGTAGTCTTTAATCGTATGATGAAAGCTCAAAAGCTAATTGTATTAGATTATAATCTTTTACACTTCACATAAGTCTAAACTTTAATTTGTTTTAAATATTCCTGGTTATTTCAGATTAAAAGCAGACAAGTTACGCGCTATCCAATTTATTTTATTATAAATTATATATGCTTTTATCGCTCAGAACTGACAAACTAATAGATTAATACTAGAGAGAAACAATATCATTTTTAACTTTAAATTTGTATGGAGAACGAAGGAAAGGTAATTTTTCCTATAAACATATATGCAGATCATGGCAAAAGACAATCCAAAAAAATATACATCAAAAATATGGAATACGAATAAAATAATTCAAAGTATAAATTTTCAACAAAAAGTTTATCGTGAAATTTATAAGTTGAAATTAAAAATGTTATATATTTATCTACAAAACATATATTAATGTAACTTATTTTGAAGTAAAAAATATAAAGCGTATAAATTCCAATATCAACATGTTGTTTCAAAAAAGATGGCGAAAATGTTTTATGTGGAATATAAATTTGATACATCCATTCCATTTAAATGCCTTACGTAAGAGAAATTAATTTCGATCACGGTTTTACTTGGTTGCGTAATTCAGACGGAATGAAAGATCCTTTTCGTTTAAGTTACGCATTCAAATCTAAATTGATATATTCTTCATAATATATATGGCTACCAGTAACATTAGAATTATTTGAATATACATACTTTTTCATTAGCATACAATTTCTGTTCAAATAGATTAATGAATAAAAAAAAACTGTATTTTTCTTAATCGACACTCAATATATCTACATAAATTAAATTATCAATTGGATTGATCTCAAAGGTTCTATACAAACTAGGCAAATAACAAGGCTAGAATGGAAATGGTAATAACGGCATATTTTAACTTAACAGGCAACATGTGGAAGTAGCGAGAATATATTTCATTAAATACTATGTAGAACGCTAGTTGTTTTTCAATTATAAAAAATGTAGGAACACGTGTTTTAATTTCTATTTCAAGGTCAAAATGACAGCGTGCAAGGAAACAATCGATGAATTTTTTTTGATACTAAGCTTTGCCTGCGACTTCAACTATTCTTTAGAATGAGACTAAAAAACCGGCTATAACTGGATATAACCGGATATAACCGGTTTCGGCTTTGTATGACCTGTGTTAAGTGACGTCATATACAATTAATATACCAAAAGAAAATTGGTACTCAAACAAAGTCATACTTCATTGAATTGGGCATCGGCTTTATTAATTCTGACGAGTCTCATAGTAATATTATATAATGTACTTGTAATTTATTGAAGTACGAAAAGGTAATATTCAATTATATCCAACAATACAGTTAAAGATACTATTTTGTATTATTATATAGCAATAATATTGAATTATCTATCAATGTCACATTGACGACTTTTTGTATTTAAAGACAATGGCTAATAAAAAAATGTATTACATAAATTCTATAACATGAAGTTTAATGAATTTCCGCTAAAACTAATATCTATTCATTTATCATTTCTTCCTTTATAGTCTTTTGTCTATACTCAATAGTGATCTGTTTGCCCAAAAAGAAAAGAAAATTATGCATTACGGTTTTTGGCGAATCTTTTACCTTAATAATATACCGCAAAATATATATAAACTTAGAAAATATCTAAAAGATATATTTTATCTATATTAATAATTATATGGAAATTTATTTTCTTACAAACTCAGTCATTACGTCATATTTTCATAAAAACTAAGTTCATAATACAAGGATTTTTTCAAAAAAATATCTTAAACTATACATTTTTTCTGTAAAAAAAACTATAGATTTTGAGTATTTTAAAGCAATACAGCATTTTCAAGTGTTTTACAGTGAAAAAACCTATATCAGATTTTCAGTATATTTAAATGAAAACCACATTCAAATCTACTTACTATTTTGAGAAATATAGGCATAATGCCACAGTCAAAAACTGTCTTAAATGCAGAATAAAATTATTTTAGTTTGATAAAGCTGCCCACATATTATAATAAATCTCATATATTTTTTACACACACAATTATCAGTTAAAATTTAATCACATATGCATTTATAAAAAGTAACTTTTTTATTACATACAAAAAGTTCTCACTTTTATAAAAATGCAAGATTATACTGCATTTAAAAATAGCAACAAATTTTACATAATTTGTTTTTAAAGTTAGAAAATAAATTAAATTGTGATGTAGTAACTTTTTGATTTATAATTATTTTAATCAAAACTTATAAATCAAAGATTTATGATCCTATTACGAAGTATGAATAATTTTTTTTTAATTTTATTTAATATAATTTACTTAAAAAGAAAAAGAGTCCATATATTTTTTTGTAACTTTAAATAGATTGTATTAAATTGATCAATTTAATGTGCCATCAATATGTAAACTTAGAATCCAAGCTACCATTATCTTGCTTGCTTTATCTACAATTCTATTTTCCTTGTAATCTAAGTATCATATCTAATAGTTAAATATATATTATGTTATATAACTAACATAAATGCAAAGTATATAAGACTTATTACTTATTAGAACATGCATTAACTTTTCTTTCAAAGATTAATGCTTCATAGTTGATTTTTGTGTTGATATTAGCATAATGGTAAAATCATCATGAAAGAATATAATACCATGATTTTTTTATATGAAACTTTAAATTGTTGTATGTATATAAATTTTAGTATTTAAGTCAAAAAAAGAGCTATTTTTAATTACTAATTATATTCACTTACTTGTGGTCCCTGTTCTTCCATTTGTTTCTCCCTCTCAACTTCCTCGTAAGTCGGCAGTTTTGAATTTGCCGCAACTTCATAGGGAGGTGGAGCTGAGAAATCCACTTCCGGTGGAGGTATGTCATGCATATTGTCTAAAAAGACAAATTTAAGATACATAAATATATAAAAGACATTTCAATCAAGAAACATCACAGAAAAGGTACCTAATTCTGTTATAAGTGATCTAATAATGCTGAAACTGACAATTGGTTACATTCTGATTGGCCATAATTATGGCATTCGATGAATTGAACAATGTAATGAGTTAAAAAGCTATATTATGATACAATGTCCTTACAGTCTAGTCTGCGGTGAATCAAAACAGTTTGTGATGACATCAGAGGGCTTCTGATGTTATAAAAACCAATGCTTCAGTTATAAACAACTGACCATACCAATGAGTATAAAAAACAAGCAACATCTGTTGTACTTCATGCTTCTAGTTGATTAAATAAGAATATCCAAAAAAATTAGACATATTTTGTTCATATGATGATTTTAAGTTACATGTTATTTGCTGATTATTGACTATATGACGAGTTACCTAACATGCAAAGGGAGATTTTTAAAGATATGCCAATAGAATGAATTTAATTCATACATAGTACTAAGACAATTAAATGATCAATTAAATTGATAACAGCTAATGTAATTGAGAGGAACTGTTAAACTGGATACATTACTGTGAAATATTCTGGAAGACCTTGTTTCTAAAACACAGAGTAAATTGACGTGGTCTTGTTACGTACATATTTTGATAACACATTTAATTAACTCACTTATATCCATAAACGGTGGAGGCATATTGTTTTCCGTTGACGACAACATCACTCGAAGTTGCGCCGAGTTGCATAAATTGTCAACTCGAGCCTGGCTCTGCAATAAATTTCACTTTCACACATGTAGATCAAACCAATATAGAATAAATAAACAATTATATACTATCATCACATACCATATCAAAGCACTGCAGGAAAACTTCAAAATTAACAATCTATGTGAAATCTAGTGCCTATTCAAGGAATTGTCACACATAATTCAAGGCCTACTAATGTATTAAACAAGCAATCCTTATTCTAAGCAACAGCAATTCGTAAGAATCACACAGCAAAATATTGAATGATAGACCTCCGCGGCCCACCTACGAATTACGATTTGACGAATAAATTCAATAATATCACAGACTACATACAGAATTGTCAACAAAATTAAAAATTTTGATTTTTCAATTTTGATTTCGATTAATAATCGGTAATATTCGGTTGTAGATGCTTGTAAGTAAATTATAATTTGTAAAATAAATGATTTATTCTAAACAAATTGAATAAGTTTTCATTTATTAAAAAAATAATGTAATGTAATTAAATTATCAATATTAATAAAAGATGTAATGTGTTTTGAATGATTAGTTTTGAAAATTACAATTCAAAAATACTACATAAGGTAAATGAAAGTAAACTAGTCTGGTTCATCTGAAATGTCAAAAAATATCTCGAGTCATATGTCAAAGTCAACCCAATTAAGAATGGCTGTAATCTGTACAATGTGCGGTTAAATGAATTCTTAGCTAAATAAGTGTTAATATACATATTTATTAATTAATCAAGTTAATAAATAAGAAAGCATAATGAAGACGGCATTAATGGTGGCTGAAAAGCCGTCCCTGGCTCAAAATCTAGCAAATATTCTCAGTAATGGAAAATGCAATACCAACAAGGGTTTGTTTATAATTTACAGTTATTAATATTATTATAAATATCTAACTATTTAGTGCATTATATCTAGAATTTACATTTTATGAAAATCGGTCTAAGTAAATCATTTTAAGTCAATTTAATAGGGCTTCACCAGCATGTTACACGTATTTACAATATTACGATTAATACATTACGTATATGTTTTTTAGGCTCAAATTCAGCTTGCGCAGTTCACGAATGGTCAGGCACTTTCAAGAACGAACCTGTGAAATTTAAAATGACTTCAGTATGTGGTCATGTGATGAGTTTAGATTTCACTGGCAAATATAATAATTGGGATAAAGTAGATCCTGTTGAACTATTCATATGTCCTACGGAGAAGAAGGAAGCGATGCCAAGACTTAGGATTCCAGCATTCCTAGCTCAAGAGGCTAGAGGATGTGATTATCTTATTCTTTGGTTGGATTGCGATAAAGAAGGGGAAAATATATGTTTTGAGGTGAGTTTCATGTTTATAATGTCTACATTAAAATAGAAATATAATTGAGATAAATGATTAATTGAGGGAGTATTTATTTACTCTTAATTACTCAATAGATTAAGTATAAAATAAAAATTACAGTATTTAAATCTGGGTCCAAAAGCTTGCATTATTTGAATGAAGGTTACTTGATTCTAAACATCTATTTGTCATGCGTAGATATGTATAAATTTCAAATGCATATTTAGTCAACTAATCAATCAACATATCGATCTGGTAGAAAAATTTAATCTTGTTGGAAATTGAGTTTTGTGTAGTCATTAGACGGGAAGAACTTTAATGACTATTAGAAAAAAAATTGCATGTTTATAGGAACTTTTGATTATGTAAAATTCTCATTTTCAGTGGAAATTAGATTTAAATTATATTAAACTAGCTATTCGCCCGCGTGGAGTTCGGTTATATCGCGTTTCCAAGAGAATCTTTCAAAAGTCTGGGATAAAAACTATCCTATGTTCTTTCTCAAGGTCAACTCTATCTCTGTACCAAATTTCATTAAAATCAGTTCTGTGGTTTAGATGTGAAAGCGTAACAAACAGACAGACAGAGTTACTTTCGCATTTATAATATTAATAGGGATGCTAGTATTCAACAAATTGTTGAAATGACTTCAACAGAAAATTTTTGATGAACTTGATTCGTCACATAGGATTTCCTTATGTAAATATGAATGAGATTTAGATGTGGTGATTATGAACATAGTATATAATCGTTTTGGCATATTAAAGTGTGCATAAATAGAAAAATAGTCACACTGCATTTATAACTGGGAAAAATTTTGTGTTGCCATACATTTTTGGTCTTTAAAATAGGGTAAACTGGTAGTGGAATTTAATTTATGATTATAAGGCTAACATATATTCTTGAGTGATAAAAAAATAGCATATATATGTAATTCCAAATGACTAGCAAAATGTGTACACTGATCTAAGAATACCATTCTCACATTTTTCTTTAATAAAGAGTGAATTCTCATTGATTTTGAGAAAAATTTTATGACTATTTTAGAGTGTCTTATTCTTAATTTTTAAAAAGCTTCAAAACGGGTGCAAAGCTGTACAAATTTGATAAAGATATCTTATTTGTTTTGCACAATCAGTGCTTATAGCTTTGGATGTGGTGATTACTAAATATTAATTGGATTTTGAAATCTTTGACTTCTTTCATATATCTTACTTTTATTTCCATTTAAAATCTCCATTCCAGATATTTTTATATGTTGATTATAATATTAGATATTTGTTTACTATTAAATGATTTTACATATCTAGTAGCTTTTAGCCAGTTGACTTTTGTATGGAGAAAGTGAAAAATTGAATTTCCAATAGTGTTACAAACACCATAACCAGAAGTTAGCAACATTTTCATGTATACATATTTCCTAGGTTATGTCCTGCGTTCAGAACTACATGAAAGGCGACGTTTACTCACCAGCGGTGACGTTTCGAGCGCGTTTTTCAGCGATCACAGATAAAGATATTAAATCAGCAATGATGAATCTGGTTAGACCAAATGAAAACGAATCGAGAAGTGTTGATGCGAGACAGGAATTAGATTTGCGTATTGGATGTGCCTTCACGAGATTCCAGACGAAGTATTTTCAAGGTGAATATTCTTAAGAAACGAAGGAAGATCATATATATATATATATATATATATATATATATATATATATTAATATGATTTTAATTATTTTAATAGATATATATCATCGGGGTTAGTGCAAATCCGCGTAACTACCATTGGATGATTCCGCGTATCTACATTGGAAGCAGATTATCAGAAGAAAGTATCAGCTGAAATATTTTCTAAATTAAAAACTTTTAAGGAAATTTTTTCACAATCAGTAATTATTTAGTGTTTAATTTATAAACTTTCTTTGTTAATCTTCTTCCAATATAGATACGTGGAATTATCCTATGGTACTTACGCGGATTTGCACTATCCCGACAATATGTAAACATTTAAATAGTTATGTTGTAAACTTTTAAATAGTGTTGAGCTTACTGAAAAACATAATTCCACTATAGCCCAATTCTTAAAGCGACTTGCACGCAATATTACAGAGGCTGCTAGTTCAAATCCGACTTGCAGAAATGAATTTTTTATGTAATATACTCTATTTTAATTCATAAAGTTATACTTATGTAGTTCCAATAAAAATTATCAGCCGGTGGTTTTTAGTAAAAACTCAAGTTTTAGTAAAAACTAAAATAGTTTCCAGAAAAACATTTTAGTTGTAATTATATTTGATAAATAGTGTTATAAGTGAAAGCATACTATAATTTATGCGTATTTAACATAAAATTTCAAATATATAATAATATTTTATTAACAAGAAATACGAATGTTACAAAAAATCGCAGTTTTTTATAAGTTTTTAATATACATAATGCTCAAAGCATTTGATATGACGATGGTTCAAGATAATAATATGAATTACTATAATATAGATTTTCCACTTCAATTTCCAGGTCGTTATGGTGATTTAGACGCGTCTCTCATATCATATGGTCCTTGCCAAACTCCAACACTTGGTTTCTGTGTCCAACGACACGATGATATACAGACCTTCAAACCTGAAACGTATTGGGTATTGAGAGTGACTGCATCTACCTCCGAGGGTAGAGAACTTCCCCTTGAATGGAAACGCGTTAGAAGTTTCGAGAAGGACATAGCAAACATGTTCCTTGTAGGCATCAAGGAATTCAAGGAGGCAACGTATGTATAGCAACAAATCAGATATTATATTGATCTATATTAAGGCGAAAACGTGAATAACTTCAGAATCATTAAATTGTATCTACGTACAATATTAAAGATTTTTTGTTTTCTGTTTTGGTCCAAATGTATATAAATTTGAATCATCAGTACATATGTTGATTTAACTCACTGTTAGACATTATTACTACAGTAAAGTATACAATAAAATACTTAACATTTTTCCGGTTAGCTTTTTGTAATTAATAACACATAAATAGTTGTAGTAGCAGATTTATATCAAAATTAATGTTCATATATATTTTTTTCTTAATCAGAGTGGTTAATATTCAAGCTAAAGAGAAGATTAAGTCTAGACCGACCGCTCTTAACACTGTTGAGTTAATGAGAGTAGCAAGCGCTGGTCTAGGTATGGGCCCACATCACGCTATGCAGGTATAATATTTACTACTAGTTGCGCCCCGCGGTGTAACCCGCGGATTTTCGGGATGTAAAATAGCCTATGTGTTATTCCTGGACATCAGCTTCCTGTATCCAAAATTTTATCAAAATCGGTTCAGCCGTTTGAGCGTGAAGAAGTAACAAACATACACTCACAAACTTTCACAATTATAATATTAGTAGGATAAACTCATTGCAATTTAGATTGTATGGCATAAGCATTAAAGTCTCAGTCAGTGGTGGCCTAATGGTTAGAGGGCCTGCCTCTCGTTGCCGAGAGTGCGGGTTCGATCCTAGCCCGGGCAAGTACCAATGTGATTTTTCCGAGTCATATGTAGTTTCTGAGAATATTTAGACATCACTGATTAATGCTGATTCCCAAAAGAGGGTTGATGTCAGGCAGGCGGCCGGTCGTAAAAAAAACAATTAGCCAAAACTATTCACAACAAGTAAGGCAGACCCTGGCTATAGCCGGGAAATTGCCAGGTAGAAGAAGGAGAAGCATTAAAGTCTTAATTCTAATAACAATAGTTTGTGCTTTTGTATTCTATATTCTTAACGCTGAAATGAAATAATACACCAGATAAACCATTTACTCATTGAAATTTAGAATTTATGCTACAAGTAATAAAGTTTTAATTTTAATGATAATAGCTTATACTATTTTTTTATACTCTTAATTGTGAAGTGAAATAATATAATATATACCAGATAAAATATTTAATATTATGTCATTGAAATTTAGATTTTATGTCATAAGTATTAAAGTTTTGATTTTAATGATGATAGCTAATGCTTTTTAATACTATAATATCAATTCTGAAATAAAATAATATGACTAATAATAGCACAGATTATATTAATCTATTATTCCAGTAATGAAGTTTTATTATTAGAGATTTAATGTTTCTTTATTCCTTCAGATAGCTGAACGTCTGTACATTCAAGGTTATATATCATATCCTAGAACAGAAACCACCAGTTACGGAGAGAATTTTGATCTTATGTAAGTATATTTATATACTAGCTGCGCCCCGCGGTGTTACCCGCGGATTTCCGGGATGTAAAGTAGCCTATATGTGATTCCTGGACGTCAGCTTCCTGTATACAAAATTTTATCAAAATCGGTTCAGCCGTTTGAGCGTGAAGAAGTAACAAACATACACACACACACACACACACACACACACACACACACACAAACTTTCGCAATTATAATATTAGTAGGATTAAAACCGAAATTTGACGTTTCGAATGGTGCAGGTAATGACTGGCCATGGATGTTTTGGCCATTATCTGTTTGCAATTGGTAGGGAACCATCTAAAAGATGTCACCATTGCGTCTGTGAAGACGATACAGCGCAACACACTCTTGCGGAATGTTCAGCGTGGGAAGATCAGCGGAGAGAGCTTTGCAATGTCGTTGGTACAGACCTATCGCTGCCAACCATTATGCAAAAGATGGTTCGTCATACTGTAGCGTGGCAGGCGATGGCTTCTTTCTGTGAGAAAGTCATCTCACTGAAAGAAGCCGATGAAAGAGAACGGGAAAAGGCACCTTCCTCTGACCCGATAGGACGACGCCGTCCTGGACGAAGGCGGATAGCGCATGAGCGCCATCTCCCGCCTTAAGGGGCTTCCGGGTGGCGGACCTGGGGATGTCTGCCACCTCACGGTCTAAGGCCCCGCGAATGCTCAGTTTCCACCACTGACAACACGAAGGATCTAGATGATTTGGAAATGTCCCCTTTTGGGGCAGCCGTTGCTGAGCCACAGCAGAATCGCTCTGCGGGCCCTGTGGCTTAGCAAAAGAGCGGCGCGTGGGACACCCGTGGGGTTTTAGTCGGTAGTGCGTCCTTTTCAGGACGAGAGTCCGACATAACTCTCCTTGCTTTCTTCCCCAAGCAGGAGAGTATGCATGAAGCATTTCCCCACGATAAAAAAAAAAAAAAAAAAAAAAAGGATTAAAACTATATAAAACAATTATATCAAGAGATTAAGCACATTTGAAATTATCTCTTATGTAGGAAATTTTAAGAAACATTTTAGGTTGCAGACACGAGACCTGTTAGTGCACGTAAATTCCCTCTAGATTCATTATTTGAAGCTAATCAAAATTTTTAACGCTGTGTTTCTATAAAAACATAATTATACGAATTCAATTATATTTTAAATACCAATTTTTGGATCTTGAACACCAAAAAATTGAGTAAAAATCTTAATAAATATCTCAAAGAAGACCTTTTTTTTTTTCATGTAGTTAACATGCTTTTATTAGTTTTTGTTGCACTGACATAATAATTTATTTCCAAGTTTACCTCTTTATTCTTAACCCTTAAATGCGCGAATTTTGTAATCGTTTATAAATATATTATTCTAATCATATTAGGATCTATAGAGCAAAGGAAAAATGGTTAAAAATATATAGTATTGATATAAAGCTACTAAAAATACGAAAAAGTGTATGTTGCATATGTGCAACAGTGCGCAGTCATCGAATTATGCTATGTATGGAAAGAATGAGGTCATCAATAACAAACTCAAAATAGATACAAATTCAAAGTTCTTTTTTATTCACGGTGAAATTAATAAAAACAATTATTGTCTGTTGTAACATAAGTTTACTCTACATTTTTCACAATAACTGAATGTATATCCCTTACAATTAGGGTATTTACATCTGGCCCGATCCCCCAATTTTTGTCAGTGATATATTGTGTCTTGTCGGATATCTTTCGGAGGCATAGTTTGAGCTGGTCCACACTTCTTTTTTAGTTGAAATTCAGCTTCTAAAGATGAACTGCTTGGGCGACCCCTTTTGGTACCATTTCCTTTTTGGCCAAGATTGCATAAGGTATGGGCCAGCTCAAGTCTGTAATTGCACAGATTCAATGGTTTTATGGAAGATTTGTTCAGTTTCAGAGATTTCTTGTACAATAGCCACGAATTTACGACTGTAACGTCCAGAAGATGGAAAAAGAAGCGATTTGTCCACGTTCTGCTTTTGCGAGTAACATGGTACCTTCCGATAAAACTATCAAGGAGATCCACTCCTCCCATGTGGGTGTTGTAGTCCTTTCTCACATTGGGGCAATATATTGGAATCCGCTGTTTCGTCGTTTTATCATACCTCATAATTGTAGTCACAGGCAAGGCTCCAGTGTAGGTTGACATCAAAGTCACAGGCTTGTTGTCTTTCCATAAAACAGCGCTAATGTCGACACCATCTACAATTGGCAACCTGTTCCTCATAGTATCCTCTTGGTACTGTTCGTTTCATCAGAGTTTTCTTATCCGGAAGCTTGTTATTAGGTATGCGATTCACCTGTATACTTCCTAAGCAATATATTCCTTCTTTTGCAAAGTAAGTGAGCAATGGCACCGATGTGTAATAGTTGTCGAAATAAATAATGTGGTTGACACGTCTTGGAACAATCCGAATTAGACGCACAACGGTATTACCAGTTGGTCTCAAATCTTCATCACAATATTCTAAATCCGCTAATAACTGGCGATTATTCTCATAGTAAACTTCTTCATCTTGCTCTTCTTCTTCTGATAATTCCAAGTCATCCTCGGACAGATCCAGAGTTTGCAGATATTCTTCGATGTCTCAGTTATTCAGCAATCTCGGCATGCTGTAAAAAGGCAAACAAAATTAGGTAAATTTTTCTAAATACATCACTACTGATCAAGTAAAAATTCAAATTTCTTTGAACGTAAATGCGCAATGTTGCACATACGACACAAACAGTTTGTTTGAAAAAAAACTTATCAAACTTTTGAATATATGGAAAATTATTATTTTCTGGTCTTTTTGATTAGTTATATTAGTGAAATATAAAAAAACAAAAGACACTTACCTTCGAAATTCGCATAAAAAACGACATAACACTACACACAAATTACTTTTTACAAATTCGCGCTCCCGCGATTTTTAAATTAAAAAATTATGAAGTTTAAATTTTTGAAAATGAACAATCACGTTAAATGTCAAAACGTTCATAACCTTTTCTATAATCTATGGCAGATTACGTTCAGAAACGTGTACATTAACTTATCAAATTATTTTAATTTTCGGTTCGTTGCAGATATGCAACAAGGCGAATTTAAGGGTTAAGAGAGATGGTTTCATTCCAATTTTTACTCCATTACAATCGCTTGTATGAAACTGTCTTTACAAAAATTCTTAGATTTTTTCCTCAACCATTATTTTTTTCAATAACTATATATAAACGTTTGATAGCCAAGTCGCACCTTTTCATAGAAAGTATATTTACACCCATCTGTTATAAATCTAATATTTTTATATCTCCTTTTCATATTTCTAACAAAATTATTATTAATTGATCGATATAAATTTAAATTTTCAGCGGCAGTCTGCGTCTACAACAGAATTCTAACAAGTGGGGTTCAGAGGTGCGAGCTTTACTAGCTAATGGCATCAATAAGCCTAAAAAAGGCCACGACGCGGGCGATCATCCACCGATCACTCCTATGAAGCCCGCCTGTGAGTCTATACCTATACCATAGACAAAATAATACTCTACTCTATACTATAAAAAAAACATTTCAGGACATAAACTTCTTATCATACACTATATACTTTTTACTTTAGACTATTAGGTTACTAGCATAGACAATGAATTGGCTAGCTTAATCTAAAAAACTTATTGCCATAGACTATAAAGTTTGATAGGTCATATATCTCCCGCCATAGACTAATTTAGAAAATTCTCATGTATAATCTGTATTAAAACTGAAATATGTTTTAAATCTGTGGTATTCAGACATATGACAACATTCATGTTTTATAACAAGTTAATTATTATGATTATTCAAAGTAATATATCAAAATATTCGACTAAATACATGTAACGATATTTCTATTTAAGTTATCTTTCTATTAAATGTACAAGTAACCAAAGACAATGTCATCATACTCAGTACATAAATGGGCAGTGTTGTAACTAGGCTTTTATGCACCCAGGAAAAATGCTCTAACCAGGCTCTAAAAATAAAATGGACAAATGTGCATACAAATAAATCTATTTATTTTTTGTTTACCAAAGTAACAAAGTATGCATGAGATAAAACTAGATACCAGTCTGGTCATTTCTACGTGCCTCCAGAGTCTGCGCTCTGTGCCTGGGCACTGCTGGCACCACCCTAGTTACGGCACTGTAAATGGGTTCTATAATAATTAGTCGTTATTAAGAAAAAAAACTGGATAGTACATAATTTTTATAGTATAAGCTTAATAATTTTCACTTTAATTTAATTTCAGCCGAATCTGAGCTCGAAGGTGACATGTGGCGTATATACGACTACATCACGCGACACTTCATAGCGACCCTGTCTAAAGACTGTCGCTACCTCAGCACGACACTCACGTTCAGTGTGGGCTCGGAAACGTTCTATTATACTGGCAACACACTGGTTGATGCTGGCTACACCGAGATCATGCATTGGCAGGTATATATATATAGATATACAGGGTGACTGGTGAATTACTATCAATATTTAAGGAGCATACACGGTACATGATTCTCATTCGAATTATGTAAAAAAAATAGGTACTTAATTTTTGACCAAATTTCCTTATAAATAGATAAAGTGTGTACACGTTCCAAGTGTTCCAAGTGTGAACGCGTGCGGCGGCGTGCTGATACAACAACACGCCGCCGCGCGCGTATGTGTGAGTGTGTGTGTATACCTAATATGTAGGGTGTTCATACGATGCGTAATTAATTATATAACTTTTGGTTAACTTTACTTAGAAGTTTATTAATATTTATGTTATATTAATTTTTATTTTGTCATATATGATCGTCAAATATCACGTCCTCAAATATCGATAGTAATTCACCAGTCACCCTGTATACTAGAAGACCCGGCGAACTTCGTATCGCCCTATAATCAAGAAATATGTTACGTTTTTTATTTATATTTTTGGAGTTTATCTATTAAAGCCATAAATCTCCGTGTTTTGAAATGCGACAGAATGATTGAGATATTAGTTAGTTGTCAAATCTAATGTCAAAAAAGGTTTGTATCAACAACTACTAATAAATTAAAAATTATTTAAACAAACATTGTCCAGCGGGCAAAATTGTGAATCTAAACCATTCCCAGATTCAACACACACAAAAAAAATTCATCAAAATCGGTCCAGTCGTTTGACAGAAGTTCAGTAACATACACACCCACCGAAGAATTATATGTATAAAGATATATAATAAAACGGTCAAAGAAACAAAATATTCGTATATAGATCAGTAACAAATATGCTCTTATAGAATATTTTTTACTTGTATATGTATTGTTTTTAAAATAGTATATAATAAATTAATAACCATAGAACAAAACATTAAGTCAGCAGCGTCACTCGTTAGATAATATTATTATCAATACAACGTTGTCGCCCGACGATGTTCATTTAATTTTTAATACATATATCGTATTTTATATATTAATATATATATCATATCGTTTATATTCCAGGCCTTCGGTAAGGATGAGTTCGTTCCTGTACTGAAGGTGGAGGAGGTGCTCCGAGCTCACGACCACCGACTAGTGGAGTGTCAGACATCGCCCCCGGACTACCTCACGGAGTCTGAGGTAACTAGCTGCGCCCCGTGGTGTTACCCGCGGATTTACGGGATGTAAAGTAGCCTATGTGCTATTTCTGGACGTCAGCTTCCTGTATACAAAATTTTATCAAAATCGGTTCGGCCGTTTCAGCGTGAAGAAGTAACAAACATACACACACTCACAAACTTTCGCAATTATAATATTAGTAGGATATATATCGTGGGGATAATGCGAATTCGCGTAACTACCATTTGATAATTCCACGTATCTACATTGGAAGTAGATTACACTAGTTTACAAAATAAAAAAAAGTTTTTGTTTTTCTGGATTTTTTTTATAATTTTTCTTAAACTCACTGCACCCCAATTCCTAAAAAAAACACTTTTCATTTCAAGGACAAAACCCATGTAAACTAGTGTTATCAGAAGAAAGTTTAAGCTGAAATATTTTCTATATTAACGACTTTTAAGGTAATTTTTTAAAAATTAGTAATAAATAAAACACTACTAAATAATTACTCATTGTAAAAAAATATCTTAAAGTCGTTAATGTAGAAAATATTTCAGCTTAAAATTTCTTTTGATAATTTACTTCCAATTATCTACATGTTTTTTTTATGTGAAAGGTGGCAAACGAGCAGACGGCTCACTTGATTTAGGGTGGTTACCGTCACCCATAGACATCCGCAACATCTTTGTTTCGGATAAGTTGCCAACCTTGTTTTTTAAGGATAGGGAGGGGTGGGAATAAGGAAATGGTAGGAAAGGGTAGGAATAGGGAAAGGGCAACCGGCTCTCTCACTCATCGGACCAAACGCAGCCATTAAAGGCTACTTCACGCCGATCTTCTGTGAGAGGGTGGTACTACGCCGGTCGAGCCAGCCCATGTTCGAGCTGTAGTAACTGACCACAGCTAGGCTATACTACCGACGACTTAGATATTTGCAAAAAAAGTATTTATAATAACTTTCTTAAAGGTGATAACACTGATGGAGAAGCACGGTATCGGTACAGACGCGTCAATACCTGTTCATATCAACAACATATGTCAGAGGAACTACGTGAGTGTGGGCAGCGGACGACGGCTGGTGCCTACTAGCTTGGGAGTCGTGTTAGTACATGGATATCAGAAGGTTAGTGGACCAGAAGGTTGGTGACGACTGACTGGAGGGGATAAATGTATCGAAAGGTTGTTAACAACTGATTAGTAATATATTAAGGAACTAGAAGGTTGAATACAACTGATTGGAGAGGATAGAAATGTTGCCTACAGATTTTAACAATGGGCTGGAAAGAACAGAAATGTTTCAAAAGCTTGTTAACCACTGATCGGAAAGGATATTAAGGTACCAGAAAGTTGTTACTAAATAACAACTACGACCGGATTGAAATAATATATAAGTATCATTACATGTAAATTTAATGGGGTCTAATAAAAAACACTGATAAATCAAGCTTATAGCAAATAATGACAAAGAAAAAAATGATTAATATATTTGTATCAGAAGGTTGGTTACTACTGCATATACTCAACATTATGGAAATATATATTCAAGTTCTGACTAGCATTTGATAAGTTTGAAATTAGTCTTCTTAAATTGAGCTAAAATTTAAGTCGAAAATATTGAATGAAATAATTATATAATTTTTAGAATACATGGAATGATTAATATAACGAATCCTCTACTATAATTTCAGATCGATCCAGAGCTAGTGTTACCAACTATGCGATCAGCTGTTGAAGAACAATTGAACCTCATCGCAATCGGTCGAGCCGATTTCCACGCGGTGTTGACTCACACCACCGAGATATTCAGGCGGAAGTTCCAATACTTCGTGAGGTCCATAGAAGCTATGGATCAGTTGTTCGAAGTTAGCTTCTCATCGCTCAAGACCAGCGGGAAGGCGCTGTCTCGTTGCGGCAAGTGTAGGAGATACATGAGATACATACAGGTAGATTATTATCTATATATATATGAGATTTCCACCTATATATTGACTTATTACAATATCTCTGGAACCATAAGGCGTAGCGACTTGAAATTTGGTAGGATTATTCCTTTCGTCGAGTATAGGTCAGCTAAGAACGAATTTTACGAAATTCCACCCACAAGGGGGGTTGCGGAGGGTAAACAATGGAAAATACGCTTTCACGCCTAAAAACACTGAAGTGATTTTAATGAAATTTGGTACAGATATAAAGTTGACCTTGAGAAAGAACATAGGGTAGTTTTTATCGGAGACTTTTGAAGGTTCTCTTGGAAACGCGATATAACCGAACTCACGCGGGCGAAGCTGCGGGCGGAAAGCTAGTAATATTATAAGAAAGATAGTATGATAATTATGGTGTAGAAAAATAAGGTTGATAATTATACATAATTGATTTTAATTTAATGATATAAACCTTCAACCAAACCTTAACCTAAAATGATATTTATAATGATAAACCTTCATAATTTTTAAAGTGCTAAGAAACTGTTTTGTTTAATAAAAAATATTTTCACAATTTTTTCAATGATATCTCTAATTCTATTTCATTATTTCACTCAAACATTCAAAGGCTAATTCTGTGTAGCATCGTATCATATATAACCAAATATGTAATATCTAAACTGAACATAAATGACTAGTTATTGTAATAATTGTTCCATAACGTTACGATCTAAATTATGTAGTATCATATAGTTTAAGCCTATTATGTAGCATCATATAGTGTATAACTAAATATGTAATATCTAAACTGAATATATCTCATATCCTATATCTAAACTGTATATATCTCAGTAGTAACTATATGTATGTATATATTTTCAGGCCAAGCCGGCTCGTCTCCACTGTTCGCACTGTGACGACACGTACACCCTCCCTCAACACGGCACGGTCCGTATATACCGCGAGCTCAAGTGTCCTCTGGACGACTTCGAGCTGTTGTCCTGGTCCAGCGGGAGTAAGGGGAAGAGCTTCCCGCTCTGTCCCTACTGCTACAATCACCCGCCCTTCAGGTACGGGATATGTGGGATACGTGGGATATATGGGATACGTGGGATATATGGGATACGTGGGATATATGGGATACATGGGCTATGTGGGATATATGAATATATGTCTTACATAGATTTATAATCTAAATTATTGTAAAACTTAATAAAAGTAGTTTAAAATTTACCATCTTTTTAGAAATTGCATCATTATAATATTTTAACTGTACTTTTTATTCAATGGGAATAATTGAATTCAATCAGAATTTAAGCTAAAATTATGAATTATATTATAAGAGTTTTGAGTGTCGAAGTCAATGCATATTGATCCAGATCTTAATTTTATGTTGTATCTTAAATTTCTCAATCTGAACCAATCAAATATCTACAATATTTCAAGTTTTAAATAATAAAAAGAACACCAATATACATATTTGTCTTCTCGTATCCGAAGTGGGGAATGCAATCTCGATCTCGCGAGATCTCGCCTTATTTTTCGAGACTAATCTCGAAGCATAAAATGACGGGATCTCGGCCGAGATTGACGAGATTGAATGAATTTTGAATTGAATTGAAAAAACATTCAGCACTCTCTGTTTTATAAGGAGTTATTTCCAAAACCATTCATAAGACTTGTTTCTTTTATATTTATTATTTTTGTACTCTAACATAGGTTCAACTTAAGTCTACGGATAAGTAGTTACTGTAACCGTTTACTACATTTATGATCCATGCTCTTAAATGAAAAATAAGAACGGTTTACTGCGCAATAAGGAGTCTATTTGTTGTTAAAATTCTTTACCGTGAGAGATATTGTTAATTTTTATATCTTTATAAACCAAAGACTGATAATTTTAATTTCTAAAACTTAATTGTGATTATTAATAGCTTACTTATTATTAATAGTGAATGATTACTAAATAAATGAGGGTTTTATTTTCCAATTCGTTCTATATCTTACTTTCGTAATAAAGAAAACTAAGCTGTCTTCTTTGCGTTTTACTTACTTAAGAAAAACGATATTTTTTTAAATTTCAGCCGAGATCTTGAAATTCCCGAGATCTCGCGAGATCGACATTTCTAATCTGGCGAGATCTCGAATTTGCGATCTCGCCTCGAGATTGCATTCCCTAATCCGAAGGTACCATAAAACGTCGAGCTTATGTTATAAAACTTTAATATTATATATTTGTTTGCAGGGATATGAAGAAAGGTTTCGGTTGTAACTCGTGCACTCACCCCACGTGTCCGTACGGAGTCAACTCGACGGGCGTGTCCGGGTGTGTGGAGTGTGACGGAGTGTTAGTGTTGGACCCGTCCGCTCCTAAATGGAAACTGGCGTGTAACCGGTCAGATATACAGATATAGTATATATAAGAAACTAGCTTTCCGCCCGCAGCTTCATCCGCGTGGAGTTCGGTTATATCGCGTTTCCAAGAGAACCTTTCAAAAGTCTGAGATACAAACTATCCTATGTTCTTTCTCAAGGTCAACTCTATCTCTACCAAATTTCATTAAAATCAGTTCAGTGGTTTAGGCGTGAAAGTGTAACATACAGAGTTACTTTCGAAATTATAATATTAGTAGGAATTACTTAAATTGAATCATATCAATCGAGTGTCAAATATCTAAAAGGTGTAAAGATAACAATTGAATGATATTTTCTTTGTCAAAATTACAGAATATATAATGTATATGCATTGTTTTCTCAATATTTGATAATTGCATACATTACACTATTATAGACTGTAAATATCATCTACAACACTACTGACTCCATCTGTGTTTACCTAAGAAACTATAATATTATAAGTAAACTCAAATCAAACAGTTATTTTCACTATCTCATATATCGTAATGTATTTCTTCTTCTGCGACGTCATCACTTCGTCACGTCACCACAATGTATATATTCCTCCAGCTGTGACGTCATCACAATGTCTGTATTCCCCCACTTGTGACGTCATCCTAACGTATTACTCCCGTCGTGACGTCATCACAACGTCTATATTCCCGCAGATGTGACGTCATCATCAACATCTTCGAGGACGCTAGCCGCGTGTCGGTGTGCGAGTCGTCGTGCGCGTGCGGCGCCCAGCTGGTGTGTGTGGAGTACCGCGCGGAGAGGACCCGCCTGCCGGCCGCGCTCACCGAGATGACTGCCTGCCTGTACTGTGAGCCGGCGTTCAGCGCGCTAGTGAGTATAATGTGTGTAGGGACCTACTGTGACGTCACTAGTTTAGTAAGAGAAGTGACCCATAGATAAAGTTAGAAGTAGCGGCGTTCAGCGCGCTGGTGGGTATATTAACATAATATATAATGTGTGTAGGGACCTACTGTGACGTCACTAGCTTAGTAAGAGAAGTGACCCATAGAACAACTTTATGTTGTAATCAGAGATTTTTTTATGTTTTTGGTTGTGTCCTAGTGAGTATATCACGTGATATATAACGTATACAAGACGTATAATGTATAAAGGTACCTACTATGACGTCAGTACTTTATCTAAAGTAGTCACCAATAGAATAAGTTAATATAGTAATTTGATACTTTTTTGTATTCTCGTATTGTTGATTAATTTATGTTAAAACTAATAACATGTTAGACTTTGGCGAGTATTCATTTAAATGAAACTAATATTTTTGGATTATAAGGCGTTTTCCATGAATGAAATGAAACGTCAGGAGTATGTAGTTTAAAATAATAAAGAAACGCTTGTACGTATATTTTTTTTCACCCTATATGAAATTAATTAGTATTAAGATTAATTATTCAAGTCTAAGACCAAGAATATGATAAAAAATTCAATTCCGTTCACTTTGTCATACGAAATATATAATTTATTTTCAAGAGTTTACCAGCACATACAGCGTCTATACATAATATTAATTAACGAACATAATATTACAGGTTGAGAAGCATCGCGCGGTGGCGCCCCGTAGCGGAGGATCGCGAGGACGAAGTGCCCGCGGTAGAGGGAAACATCGGAACAAACAACCCAAAGATAAAATGGCCCAACTAGCGGCGTATTTTGTATAAACTAACATTTAATACAGTTGTGGTTGAAATGAACACATTTATAAAGGATTTCTTACTGTTATGGCTCGGTCAGAAACTTTTAAGAGTCGAATCAAATGTTTTAATTTGAATTCTTATCTAACTAAAGAATGTCTAACCTAAGTTTTCAGGTACATAAATTGTTCAAATCGAAGCATTGACAGTTAATTTTGTCATAATTACTAATAAAACGCATATAACAGTTTCAGTTGCACAACATTCTTTTTATATTATTAATCTCTAAACATTCAAAAGAAATTTGTTAACTCGAAACCACAACGTTGTAATAATTTAATTTTATGTATGGAAATGGGTATTTACTCAAAAACACAATTTATTTTTTTTCCAAGTTCCTTTTAAATTTTTAATCTATGGTCTATCATTGATTAAAAATATTGGTAGTATATACATTTCATCAAGAAAGCGATCGCATCATATTTTAATTTAATGCTTTAGCCAAATGCAATATCTTTTTTGTTTATAAGATCTGTTAGAGTAGACGAAATCACAAGTATATTATAGATTAATACATAATGTATGTGGTTCTTTTTTAACTTTATATGTAATTGAGAAACTTTGTCTATTTATTATTACTATATAAGTGGAAATAAACAGTTGCCTAACAAACTGTATCTTTCATTGAATTCCTTGGCCATAAAAGTTATCGTTTTGAGCTAGATCTTATTTTCATGAAAAATAGTTAATTATTGGTTGTATAAATTTTAATTTAATGATTATACTTGCACGTGTAAAGCACTTAAACGACTATTCAAAGACCAAAAATAAGTTACATCATTTTGAAGTAAAGTTTATAATTTCACACTGCTAGACCTATGTTTACCAAGGATGGCAAAAACTACCACAAGGAAACTTTCTTGCAAATAAAAATCGGTTGATCCGTTTGTGAACTATTACGAAACAGATAGGTATAGTAGCCGGCATGTAACTTGGCAAGGTTTTGGTGGTGGGGTTAAGTTTGCTCATGTACACTTAATGCAACAAAAAGTGGTTAATTTTGATGCTTAATCAATAAGAAAAACATGTAAGAGTTACAAGAAAAATGGGTTTAATTTAAGTGCTCGTAAGTGTACTCGGGGTGAAAATCCAATGACGCGCACGAAATTATTCCGTCTCATACTTATGACACCTAAAAATTGCTTTCTACCAATTTATCGTCACTAGACAAGTTACTTGCCGGCTACTATAGAGACATTGAAGTCAAACTTATAACAATTAACTTGCTTCCATAAATAAAACAACGTCTGTATTTAAGTCTTCATTTTATTGTGAAGGTTTTCACCTAATATAATGTAGGTACAATAAGTTACAAGCTTATAAGTATAACTGGTATCAATACATGTTTAAAGAGCGAACAGTGATCTTAACCGGTTACAACCGCTTCAAACCGGTCGATGCAAAAATTCATTATCTGTGCGATGAAAAGCGCTCAAAGAAAATATACTCCCATACATCATAATATATATACAAAGCACGTAAAAATATAAAATAGTTAAATTATATTTAAAAAAATAAAAGGAATTTAGTTGAAGCGCTTCCGCTAGTTTTATCAGATATCACAGACAAGCCAATATTTATGTTATTTTAGCAATCGAATTTATAAGACGTATATAAAATATAAACTTTGTGATTTTAACTGATTTAGGCGGGATTATACTTACATTGAAGGGTACGAGAAATTATAAGGTACACAGCTAGCTGGGACTTTATGTATAAATAAAAGCTATGCTACTAATAAATAGCTTTAAAACGAAAGATGGTAAGGCCTGAATAGAAATTAATCGATGTATACTGTACCCTTCGGAATATAAAATAAAACAACACGTTTTGGTCACTTGGAGATTAAGAGATATGAACTATTACTCACTACGTGCTATCTATGGGTTTTGAGAAAATCTTTTATAATAAAAAGTAATAAAAGAAGGAGAAAATAATTTTAAATTTTACTTAATATAGTCGCGTGATATGCACTACGTTTTAATGAAAATAATCGTTTTTAAATGTATGACAATTCTAAAATCAGGTATAAATGGGAGTAGTGTTTAATTATGTTAATCTTTGGTAAAGACGATAAAAGATCAAAATCAACCAAAATGATATTTCTGGAGAAATCTGAAAGTTTAAAATATTTTGCTAAATAATACGGAACTTTAAACACTACTCCTCGGTTGCCGCAGATACATTATACAATAAAATCAATATTGTGTTGTGCTGTTTCCATATCTATGTCTATACTATGCAAATAATCCTAAAACCTCTACTTCGTCAATATTCCTCGTTATAAATATATTCCATGTCACAAGAGATTCATTTCCGTATAGATGGAGTACGTTATATCTGTACTAAACTAACTTTAACTTTAATCTCACTTTTTTTGATAACGTAATTAATTTCTAATAGCTTCATACTTATAACTATATAGCGTTTATTTACATAGTAACAAAACCTTCCAATATATATTCAGCGAAAGCTATATTTTTTTTATGTTTTATTTCTGTTATACAACTCGGTTATAATCCGATATAAACTTAACTAATATATTAATTCATCTATCTAATTAATGAAACGTAAATATTTATATTCGTTAATTTTGAAAAGAAAATTATTATAAAATAGCGCATTTCTATTGGTAAAGAAATAATTTCTTCATATAAGATGATTTAGACGTAATATTAAACCAGTATTGAGTATTTGTACTCTCAAGTTTTATAAGGCTGTAAATGTTCGATCGCTAATGACGTCACTATATGGTCCAAAATTTTGTATGAAAAAAAAACGCGTAATGGATGGTTTAAATAAAATTCATACAAATATTAAATGTATTACAACAGCGAGGCCAGCTCATATGAAAATAATCTTCACTTCTAAATCAACTTCACATAATTTATACCATAAACCAAAACCTAAGAAGCGAGTGACGAAAAAATTATTCTGCAGCGATATGTAATGTTTAATATCTTAAATAATATAAATATTTTATTGTCATAGAATAATTTACCACGTATGATAAAAGGAAATCTATTTTTTTAAGAATATCTAATACCTTTTGGTCTTGGAGAATGGTATAAATTGGTTTCATAGATGTTAAATTCATGACTACCTTCGTAAGCTACAAGCTTACGTCGTATTGAGCCGCTGTAGTATATTTATATTATATTTAATTTTACTATTTAAAGCTCTTAGTTATCAATATGCGATGTTTAAATCGCATCGAATACCAGATCCCTTCGTAATGAGTCGTAATTCCGACTAAACTCTGAAGTATGTTCGTATAACTATCAAGTATGTACCAAATATCTAGCATATAATAAAAAACGAAGCTATGCTTTTGGCCACTCGTCAGACTATCCCTAGTCCTCACAGAGTTTGAAGGTCACTTGGATATTCGATTCACTGCTTAAGTCCTAAATGTTGTACTGTACAGCATCTTAATATATATAAATCACAATGATTTACTTCGTCTATATATATTCTTCGTCTATAGTCCGATATTATATGGGTAGTCGTTATTTATATAGTCCACACTTGTACTTTCTCTGCGATGACACACCAGCTCGCCTGATCGTAATACGAGGATACAACGTGAAGACTTTCGACGTATTTTTCTATGAGTTGATCTAGTTCGCCTTTTTTGAATACGTGGTAGTATCTATGGTAAGTGACCGCGCCACCTTCTGAGGGTAGACTGTCTGAGCCATCACTGAGTGAGGGTAGCAATGGTGCGTGAGGAATTGGCCGAGGAAGTACCGCGGGAGTAGTATCCTCAGAAGACGAACGAGTTTCTAGAAGCTTCCTTTCTTTGGAACATTCACTACACGAAGGTAATGATGCTAAACTAGCGCAGCCCAAAGATGCCGTACTGCCGGTCTTATCACGTCTACTCCAATCACTTCCAGCGGATGTATCGCTTGATTCGATTGAAAAACCCGATTTTAAAGCTGTGCTAGCGCTTGATCGTGATGTAATTGATTCAGGACTGATTTCCATTTTATCTAAATCGCTAGAATCTGTTGATTGGCCGACTTTTAATGAGGAACGTTTTTCTGTGCTCGTGCATAATGAGTCTACACTTATTTCTGATTCCAATGAGTATCCCGTTTCTAATGATTGGCTAGTATCGTATGTTCCAGATTCTATCGTTATTTCTGGATTTCCGTTGCTTGAGGATATAGCGCTATCATCATCTGGGTTCTTGGTGTCGATTTCGGTTAACCTCTCGTCTATAATAGGTTTTACGTTGTATTGTATGTTGGCACAGTTATTTAAATATATATCCTCATCGCTTGTCACACGAATGCTCTTCTTAAGTTCTCTGTACTTATTAATAATCGGATCGACGTCTTTGCATCTCTTCTTGCTTTTAGATTTCGTGCTGCACTTCGGGAATAACTTATTGATGTCAGATTCTGTATCTTGGACCGTTGTGTATTTAAGTTTTTCGTTGCTTATTTTGCTTGGTGTGTTATCGTTGTTGAATTTATTAGACGGGTCTTCGAGATGTTGTAGGCTATCGGAGAGTTCGTCTAATATTTTCTGAGTATTTCTATCTTCTTCTTCTCGTTTCAGTCTGAGCGAGATGCTTTTTTCGCTGCTACTGCTACTAGGGAGATCGAAATCTTCTTCGTTTATACGTTTCGAGTATTGATCGATTTCCTGTAGTAATTTCTCGCTGAGTTTCTCAGCGAATTCCGTAAGATGTTGATTACGATCGTTCGGTTCGTTAATCCATTCCTCTTCTTTAGCCAGCATATCCGACCTACATGTTATCAGAGGCTCGTTTTGTATTCTATTAAAGCTATCCGATTTTGATATAGATTTCTCTGAATCTGTACTAGATATAGACAGCGAATCGTATGGTAGTCGGGTCGGACTTCTATTTTTCCCTAGATTTTCATCAAGAGATCTTCCTTCTGGTCTATTAGGAGAGAGTCTATTTAGGCTCCAAGTAGAATTGTTAATGCTTCCTTGTTTCGGTGATCTGTCTTTGGATCTTCGTCCCGGGGATAATCGTTCTAGGCTTGAGGAACTTCCGCTAGAGGTTGTATTTGAGTGTGACCTTGATTTGTCCTCTAATATTCTGAGGTCACCAGGTGAAAGCTTATTTAAGCTCCAATTACTGCTGCTACTGCTGCTTGAAGCTCCTTGTACGATAGCTATAGCTTCAGTACTTTCTATTTTTTCTAATTGTTTTCGTTTAGATCTAGGACTCGATTGTATAACTGTTTCGCAAGTTTCGTCTAAGCTTTGTGCGACTTCGGTAACGGCTTCTATTAAATTTTGTGATGTATTCTGTAATGATTTTTCTGTGGAGTTTGTATCTTCTGTTGTAACTTCAGAGGGATTAGGAAGATCTGTAACAATATTAAGATTGATATGTAGTTTATATTTTACATTGCATTAGGTATGGATATAAAAAGTTCTACATGCTTTCTGTTATGTGATTGATACTAAAAGAAAATGGGAGAAAATAATTGAATTGCACAGATACACACATCTCTGTATGTATGATATGCAATTTTATAATGTATTTGTCATACAATAAACATAAACAAAGGATTATTAGGTGAAAATTGGATAAAAATATTAATTTTAGTATGATAATAATTATTAAGCAACATTTGTTTAAAAGTAAAACAATGACCACATAAAAAATATCTTATTAACTGACTTTTTGCTCTCAAATTGTTCAAACGAACTAACCAATCAAAATCATTAATAGGATAGGTCGAAATTAATGGATATACTACCTTTTTCGAGAGCAGTTTTTCGTAGTTCATCCGGTACTACACTAATCACGCTATCCACTGAATCCGGTGAAGAAACTCCGCTTGAATCACTGTCCATATCATCAGTCGCGGGATTGAATAGTTCTAGGGTCATCAATTTTGGATGGCTTTTAGCTATTGGGTCAGCCTTACTCGTACTACGAACTATAGGAAACGGCGGTCGTCGACTTATATTAATACTTGGAATCCCTTTGTTTAACATATCTTTTATTTGACGTATCCTCTCCTTTCGCTTTCTGTCAGCTGATTTATCTGATGCGTCACTTGTTGGTGATTTATTAGGGCCTTTGGGCTTAAATTTTGGTATTTCAGGTAATTCTGCGACTGTTTGCAGTGTTATTTTCGGATATGGCTTTGTATCTTGTAGGACTCGTGGCATGAAATCGTCGGTCTCAGCTGTTAGTTTATGTATTTCTTCGATGTCTTTATTTATTTCTGCTATCAGATCTTTTGTGGCTTCGGTAGGCGTTTCTTCTTCTTCTTGTATTGGTGGAATCTGATCTATTTCTTCGTATATCTGAATTGGAGGAGGTTTGCTTATAATTGCAGTAGGTATTGGTCTGATTTCTGTTTTAAGAACATTTTCTTCGGGTTCCGGCTTCGGAGGCGAATTGGGTTGGCTTTTTGATAGCGGTTTTATGGGTACCGTATTAATATTAGTTGTGGTGTAATTTTTTAAACTGTATTGTGCGACTAAGATTTTATTATGAACAGTTCCTGGGGCTTGTACAGCGTTCGGTGACGCTGGGGGGCGGATGAGAGGAAATGCTTGTTTGATCCTTGGAGAAGGTAATCCAGGTGAAGATTTCATTCTCGGCGATGTCGGTACCGATGAAACTTTTAATCGTGGAGAAGTCGGGCCCGGGGATAAAGGTGTGGGTGATAATGGATCGCCAGAACCATCTGCTTTAGGCACATATATGACAGATGCGAAACTATCTTCTGAATCAACACTGGTATCACTTTGAAGGCTGCTATCTTTTGAGGAATCTGATCCATCCTCTCTTGAGTGACGTCTTTCCGGGTAACTCTTCTCACTGTTCGCGTTATTGTCACTCGGCGTAGGTACTTCCGGTACCGGGCCGTGATTTTTCCATCCTTGCAGCATTCTAACAAACACGGTAACTTTATCTATATTCGTTGTGGACGTTTTGAATTTATTTGTAAGGCCGTTTTTTAGGGATTGGAATTTTTTGGCTGTTGTAGCTGATGTCGAAAATATTGAATCGCGGATCGAATCTAGAGCTCCCGGTCTTCGGTATAAATATTCTTCATTAAGAGACGCTTGTTTTTGTATATTCTTTCTCAAACGTTCTTTCTCCCTCAATCTTTCTACGGACATTAGCTCTTCGTTGAGCGACGTTTGTTTGAATACACCAGGTTTCTTCGATTGTAATTTTTGCGTATGTATTTTAAAATTAGGCATTTCTTCCACTAAGCTCTTCATGTCTGTCGGTTTGTCTAAATCTTCCTCCGCGTCGTCTTCGTTAATGGATTTCTTTTGTTTGACCAGTCGAGGTTTCTTCCGCGGTTCAATGACCTGGGTTGGTTTTTCTGGTTCTGGTTCAACTTCATCGCCACCTAGACTAGGCAAACTAGATCTAGATCGTACAAGAGCTCGTCTTTCCGTATCCGCGATGTCTGTTAAGCTGCGAGATTTCATTGTGGACGCATCCGATGGTTGAGATATCAGCCGTGGAGGTAGAAATTCGTCTAGTCTTCTCAATTCTATGGGCAAGTCAGTAGCTAATGGTTCAGGGCGAGAGCATTGTCTTTGGTTCACTCTAGGACCGATCGTCCATGAAGGAAGGAATGAACGTCGTCCAGCCAGCCTTTGTAGAGCTCTTCGAACGAATGAATAGCAAGTTTCATTCGGTGATGACAGCGATGATGATCCCGGAGAGCCATCACGACTTTTCCATGGTTCAGCGTACCTATAAACATGTGAACATTGTATTTATGGTTTAATTTTCAAGTCACACGATAAATTATAGTACATACTGCTCGTAGTCTACTGAAAGGAATCTCGGGGCCGGCGGCGGTGGACATAGTGTCGCTGGACGATGCCATGGTATTAAGACATCCTGAAATAAACAATATCATCATATATTGATTTATTCGCATAAGTGTATTATTAAATATGAAATGGACTATGGACTTTAAATGTACTGGATAATAGTTAATTTACAACGTTTCATTATATACATGACACTAAGTATAGAAAAACAAACGAAGGGATCGCAGTTGAAATTAAATAGGTATTCCTTTATCCTGAACCAAAAACCTAAATGCAACTGTTATTTACTTCATATATTTTGGTAGTAAGTAATATGATAGGAAAACATATATATATATGTATCTAATATAGTTAAAATACCTGAGAATGGAAATTCCTCCCTTCGTGTTCCATAGCCCACACAGTGAGTAGTAATCTGCCACCGATCCTAGTAATTCTCGCGAGTTCTCGCAACGCGCTGGCTCGACGCTCGACTGTCGCGAAGTGATGTACCACAGCGATAGATAGAACCGCGTCAAACGACTCATCACGGAACGGGAGGCAGAGATTGTCGCATACCACAACCTGGGCAAAGTGGTCATACTTAAATTATGACTCAATAAGGACAACTAGTTGACAATTAAGGTCAAACAACCGATTGTTTTGTTTTAATGGTCATACTTAAAATATTCCCCAATAAGGAGAGATTATCGCATACCACCACCTGGATATACATATATTGGTCATACTTAAATTCTTCCCTAAAATCGGAAATTGTTTGTAAATTTAGCCCAAACAACCCATTGATGGTTTTCATAGAAATACTTAAAATATAAGGACAATAAGGACAAATAGTTGTCAATTTAGGCCAAAGAACCAATTGACGGTTTTAAATTAGGTCTAAGAATGGCGATATTTTGTTTTTAGTGATTAAAAGCCGTGTCTATAGAGTCACTTCTTTGGATTTAGAATGTCGCATACTGGTCACATAGTGGTGATACTTAAATTATGCCTTATTAAGGACAACTAGCTGACAATTAAGGCTAAACTGCCAATTGATGGTTTTTAAATTTGATCTTAGAACGGCCATATCATGTTTTCGAGTGTAAGCAACGTGTATAGAGCCACTTCTCTGTATATCCTTATTGAAAACCGATATTAAAATTATCTTTAATTACTTCTCAGTGAATATAATCAAGTTGTGACATTCAAGCATGTCGCCATTGAAATTTTTTTTGAGTTTTCATTAACATATTTCATTTATAAAACCAAGTTCACTGAATTGATTTTGAGGTATTTGACTATAAAACTTAAAACTTAAATAAAATATTACATCGATTTCAGCAATTCTCTTGCTGTCAATAAAAATAATTGAAATTTGACGCAATGAATATCTTAACTTATGTAGATAATATAATTGTAATAGTAGATTTTTTTCACTTCTACCTACTCGTGTAGTTAAAAAAATATTTCAGTACTCAACACTAGCTACAATATCTCATGTATGTTCTAGTGATGTTGACTTAAACAACTAAGTTAATATTATGCCTACCTCATTATTGTTATGATGCGCCTGCGCAGCCAACCTCGTGCAACGGTCGCCTCCTACCGCGAACACGGATGGGTTCACGTTCAGATACTTGCCGTTACCGCAACCTGGAACGTATATTAACAAATGTTACTAATTTAATGATTAGTCGGAACTTGGGAACATGAATTTTCAGGGTATTTAGAAAATAATTAATATATATTGTAATGTATTAATTAATAAATAAAAAATACTTTTGGAATGTATTAATAGTGTTACTTAATTATATCTTACATGTTATTATCAACTTCCAATTTTACTGAATAAAACTATCAACTAGCACATATATTGAAAAAATATAGAAGAGGAACTTGTAAGGATTTGTCTAGGAATTTCAGTTATTATATATTTTATCTTTAACTATTTCTTATTTATTATAATAAATGATTAAGGTTCAACATTTTTTTATTAAATTTGCTGTTTTGACTTTACTGAGTATTAATATTATGTCAGAAATAAAAATAGTATGTAGTATAGTAATAATTTTAGATGTTTGGGCTCATATTGACTCTATATATAAATATATATATGTATATATCAACTACTTTTTATGATTTAACCACACTTAGGTATTTTTAAAAGTTTAGTGTAACTTAAAAGATATTCTATATTACTTAGAGAATTCCCAGAATCAAAATTAAAATAAGGTTACTGAATGCCAGTACTCCTATAATTGATGGAAAATAAAAAAATATATGTATTGTGTAGTGTATCCTATTTATATACATACTTTAATAAAAAAAATGAAGATCAAACTGCAATATAATATATTTATTGTCCTAGGATTATATTTAAAATTTACAGCCAGTGAGAGATTCGTTGTTGGCGATATAGATTTATATCACCCACGCCTTGACATTTCCCCGTTCTGATATTCGCCACTGAATTTCTAATTATCTGTTGATGTTTCATACTTTACAATTCTGTGTGGGTCGTCTGTATTACGCCCCCAAAAGACATTTTAAATTTCATCACAGATGCTTTAGCTTATTGCTCAATTAAGTCAAGATAACAAAGTTAGAAGATATAACTAATCTATATTTAACTATTATAACTTTTAAATTTTAAGCTTTGGTTGATCAAATTATTATTAATTAATGATTTTTCCGTATTAACTGTTAATAAGAAAGGTGGCAAAAAAGTTATAACAAATAATCTACTCTCCAAAGGCAACAAATGATTTTTTCTGTTCTAATAATTGTTTTTTTGTCCCCGTAATTGTGTGGGTGGTTATATAAATATGGTGAATGAAGCGATCAATAAGAGGTTCTCCTATGAAGATTTTCTAATATTTTTGTGAACAAATTTCATTCATAGTATATTTTTATACTAAATATTGAGGTGGAGTAAAATAACTTAAATTTTTTGCCTATCAAATGTATTTTTGCTGTTCGTCTTATATAGTGGGAGTGGAACAACAAAAGAATTATGTACTTCATTAAAGATAATAAAATTGTTCAATATATTTCTTTATTAAGACAATATTGGTGTTGTGTCAATTTCATTCATATTTTATAGAATTTTAATAGGTTCTTTATAGAATTTATATTAAGATGGAGTATAATAACTTCGAGTTTTGTCTAATCAATATAGTTTTGCTTTTGTTATTATCCTAAAGATATAAATTTCCTTTTATAGTAGGAGTGGAACAACACAAAAAATAATGTTTTTTACTAAAGGCCATAGGTCATTTTATAAGGACACTTTTGGTCATGTTTCTATGTGAATATCATGTCATGTCATCATCAGCCTATCAGAAGCCCACTGCTAAGCAAGGCCTCTTTCTCACATGGAGAAGGTTTGAGCATTAATCACCACGCTTGCTCAAGACGGGTTGGTGATTTCAAACTTATAATTGTGAAACTATAAGTCCAGGTTTCCTCACGATGTTTTCCTCCACCGTATGTCAATGATGTCTAAATACTATCATAAAGTACATATGACTCCGAAAAATCACATTGATACGAGTACTTGCCAGGTTTGAACCCGCGCCCTCGGCAACGAGAGGCGGGCCCCTTAACCATTAGGCCACTGACTGAATATCATATAGGTCGTGTTATGAGGACACTTTTGGTCATGTTTCCATGTGAATATCATATAGGTCATGTTATAAGGACACTCTCGGTCATGTTTCCATGTGAACATCGGTCAGTCAGCCTCACCTATATCACAGACGAGACTGCCGGGCTCCAGGTCGCTGATGAAGGCTCGCACGGCGGGCGCCGGCGTGGTCGCGTCGTCACCGGCCTGCTCGTACACCTCGTGAACGTACGTACGCTCGAGGGCCGCCCCGCGACCCGCGCACTCGCGCGACCACGCCTCCCCGCCATCCATCACCGACAGAGCATTTTGCTCACCTGCAATATACCAACATATGCCTGCTAGATATACTATACTATACTTATAATCGTTTTTACTCATTGGCAAGAATTATGATAGTACAATAATGAAACTGGGACTTAGCAGAGATAGCCATGTTCATATGGTTTTATAAGCCAACATTGTAAACCACAAAGAAATGGACTTATGATAGTATAGTTGAATATAGGAGTAATGAGTGTCACTAGGACTGGGCAGACACAGTCATGTTCATATGGTTTTATACACTAACATTCTTCCTCACAGTAAGGTAGATTTATGATAGAATGCATATAGAAGCAGTGAGTACACTAGGACGTAGCAGTTTAATAGTTTCATATTGCAGCTCTACCAGATGGTATAGTAATGTGTCTTGTTACATACTCGTATAGAATCATTGTGCTTAAAAAAACATGTTAATTATGAGAACAATGATTTATAACCAGATAAAGCTAAATTAGTATAGTAGTTATAGAGACGATTCTTATAACAAAACTAGCTAAGTGTGTGTGTGTGTGTGTGTGTGTGTGTGTGTGTGTGTGTGTGTCTGTCTGTTTTATTTATTAGTGATCACTGATCAGATTCCTATAATAATATTAAAGATTTTTTTTAGATTATAACAATTGTAGTGCGAATGTGTTTATTCCAGTATTTATGGTTACAAGAGTTCGGTCTTAGCTTGTACCGTTTCCCGGGATATTGTTATTGGGGTCATCGGGTCATATACATTTGATCGGAATTATTTTCTTTGTTTAAATATTTGTTTTTAATTCATATGAATTTGACATCGTTTAATGTTATAGGGACATATATTTTTTAAGTACATTATGTATTCTAAATAATTTTATTAAGTGAATACTTTTCTTATAAATATTCTGTTAAAATACTCTTCATAAAATTTCAGTACAATTGTTAAATATTCTGACCTCTTTGTAAGAGTGCATTGCACTCAGACAACATACCCATCGATATTCATTCGTCTTTGTCTTTCAATACTTTAACTCCTATTCTTAGAGTATCCTATAGTTTGAAAATAAACTGTGGTTTAAATATAATCAATGAAATCGTTTTTATTAAGAAAAGATTCTGCTAACAATGAATTTATTATGTTTTTCATTAATTTTTTCGAAAACTTTCTATGTTAAAAGCATTATGCACTCATCTTATTTACTTTCAAATTGACGTTTGACACGTATTAAAAAATGCACTTTGATATTTTTTATTATAAAAATATTCAAAATGGCGATTACACGAGTAAAATAAGCTTCTGGTATCAAATATTAGTTAGTATTTTTTCTGTTTTTTCGGATAAATATACATAATACATTATAAGAACGAATTCCTTCAAGTATTTATATATTAGGTTGGTGCGTATGAAATGTCGGATTCTTAAGTGATTGTATAAAACTGCATATCTTTCCTCAAAAGCTGTTTATTCAATTAAAGTATGCTCCATTCGCTTCAATACACTTCTCCCAAAGAGATTTTAAGGCCTAGATGCCTGTCTTAAAAAAATGTTGATCTATAGAATTAATAAACTCTGATATCGAGTTTTTTAGACTGTCTTCATTTTCATAGTGTTTGCCCCTTAAAAACAGCTCTAAATGCTTGAAAAAATGAAAATCGGTCCGCGAGAGATCCGGTGAATATGGTGGATGCTGCAAAACTTCATATTCCAGTTCGTTCAGTTTCACAATTGTTTTGTGCGATGTATGCGGCCGAGCGTTGACATGGAGCAGTAGCGGGCCATGCCACTTGTCCATCTTCTTAACCTTGCCAATCCCAGAAAGGTGTCTCAATATCGTTGTATGGTCAACTTTCATCCTGATAGCAAGTTCCGCTTTCACTAGAGTCTTCAGGCCATCATTCTTCACAGACGTTTTGGGTTTTCCGCGCGGCGCATTTTGCAGTGAAAAATCGCCAGTCCAAAATTTTTCGAACCAACGCTGCACTTTCCGATCGTTAACCGTATTCTCCGCAAACGCTTGGTTTATGTTGCGTGCAGCTTTAGGAGCATTATTACCGAGTTTATACTCATATGAGAAAATGACGCGAATGTCGGTAGAATTCATATCGGCAATAAACTCAAAAGAATTAACAAAAAAGAAGACTATCGGGAAAACCTATTTTGCTGAAGTGAGTCTCTGGCAATGGACAATACGACTATGAATGAGGTTATGCCAAAGACAAAAGTATAACGAAAACAGGGAGACAAACGTCCGCATGTAAAGAGAATGCGACATTTCATACGCACCAATCTAATATAAGTACATACTGCTTTTGGATTACTATATATTAAAACGGAGGCTAAATAAAGACTTTATCGATCTGTATGGCTTCGCGACCATTGATGGATTTTCAATACAGATTAGCATGTTCAAAACTCTATAGATTTTAAGTGACGATAAAAACTATTGTCTTGTCTCGCGACATCGCTTCTTTCATCACTCAAACAAAGTGCATGCCACTTATCTTGTGTTCAACTTAGCGTAAAATTTTATAGCACTTGTTGTTAGCGACAATTTTTTATAGAAATAACGTAAAATTAATCATATTTTTTATTTAGCAGAATTTTGCAAAGACTGTAAAGAGTATTATTAAAGATAAATCTTCAAGGAAAAATATAAATATCTTTGAATACTTGAAATTATTTCAATGATAATTTTTCTTTAAATAGTAAATATTACGACAAAATAAGAACCAATATGATATATATAAAAGTTAAGTGGTATAATTAGAACTGTAAAACGGTCTTGCTCTCAAACGCCTAATTTACTTTCCCATAATAAGATTACGGAGTAATCGAATGAAGATTATTGTTCAGTTATTATGGACCTTATTGATATAATGTTAAGAGCTATTAAATAGCTCTTTGTTACCATGACGACGCATCTAGGACGAAAGCAGGTCAAAACGGCAGTTCAGCTTTATATGCTGCATTTGAATTTTAAACGGGGAAAATTTTAAAACGCTATCTTTTTATAGAAAAAAAAACGGTTCTAAATTAAGATCTTTACGTCTAAAATTTTTCTATGAGTTAGGAGATTTTTAACTATGTCTTTGTTCTTCATGATTGATTTTAATAGATTTTAATTGATTTTTTATGTTAAAATAAATTTCTTACTCATTTAATCTTCTTATTTTAATATTAATTAAAACATCTCGTCTTCGTGATCACGGTTGCTGAAAAGTAACCGAAACGTCGCGAATATGTAGTTTTCTAAAAGAGAAACGAAACCTCACAGCATTCAATGTATTCACCGTGCGAGTGCCGGGTCTATGCAAGGAGAGGAGCTTCAACAGTGCCTGGGACTTGCGACCCAGGTGTAAGTTTAAGGGGTCTCTAAGTAAAATACGCGTAGTAAACCGAAAAATATTAATTATTATTTAATCTTTTTTAATACAAATGTTCTCATTTTTTATCTAAAATATGTTATATTTCTAATGTAGTAATAATACAGTTGTATGTAGGACAATAACACTATCTGTTATAAAATCGATATCTTTATCAGTAACACGTGATTACTATATTTATTTTAATGGTGTGTCAGGAATTATGTTTAAATTACTTTAACAAGCTTGGATATACAGTTTGGTAGCATTTAAAAGTATATTAGGAAATAGAATATGTTTATTAAATGGTAATATAAGAATTTTTTTTAATATTATAGTTGTATACTAGTTTTTGTACCCGACTTTGTTCCCGTTAATTTCGTAATTAGTAATATATAGCTGACCGGGTGAACTCTATTCCGGTCTAGAGGCCGCAAATGACCAGATATTGGAATTTATTAATGTTTTTTCCATCGAAAAAAATTAAATATCCTTTGTTATATTCCTGGTCCCAAACTATCTTTTTACCAATTTTCATCCAAACCCGTGCAGCCGTTCTTGTGTTATAAATAGTGTAACTAACACAACTTTCTTTTCTTCTTCTTCTTCTACCTGGCAATTTCCCAGCTTTAGCCAGGGTCTGCCTTACATGTTGTGAATAGTTTTGGCTAATTGTTTTTACGACCGGCCCGCCTGCCTGACATCAACCTTCTTTGGGAATGCATTGGTACTTGTCCGGGCCAGGATCGAACCCGCGCCCCCGTGCATGAAAGGCGGGCCTTTTAACTACTAGGCCAACACTGACTTAACACAACTTTCTTTTATATACCTACATAGTTTGTTCCTATTACAGCTTACTGTATTGAAAAACTTGGTGAATTATAATGTCTATGGTACAATTACGGCCATAGATATATAATTTTTCTCTAAAAATATGAATAACAACTATTATCAAACAAATATCCGTAAATTTTAGTGTTATCTTTTTAGTAAAATATATGAAATTTTGTATGAGGGATAAATACTGGATTAAAAATTATTATGTATAGCCAAAACATTTTGAACTTATAATAAAAATAGCGTTAGATATAAACGGTATTGTATTGAAATGGTTCTTCATATGTCCCCAAAAACTATTAATATTAAAACCTTTTTTATATTTTTTAATAAAACGAATATTTCACATATAGTCTGTATAGTATGAAGTTAAGTTATTTTATTCAAAAAGCAGTTACTGGTTGCGCGATGTGTTCAACGTTCCATTAGTATGAAATTCATATTCGAAAACCGTTATATTTTTTCACTTCGACCACAAAAAAAATAGATCAACTATTGATATCAACGTTTTGTTTGAAATGTACTAAAAATATTATGAAATAATTGACACGTTTTAAGCTTTAAAATATAAAAAAACAAGTTTATTTTTTTTCGTTGTATATGATATGTATAAAGTAATACATATAATCAACTTAGGTTTTACACACACACACACACACACATATGTACGTATGTATGTTTATATTACATTCTATTCTTTTGCCTCATACGAAATTAATATATATATATATATATTATATACTTTTGAATATAATTGTAGCGTTAACGATTTATGCACAAAGTAGGGCAAGCCTCGGTTTCTCTTTCCCATTGTGCTTTATAAATATCTGTATAAGAATACATACAAGTATTTTACGCTTCTCCACAAACCACAAGAAGTTTTTTGTATAACAAAGCAGTCTTCACATTACTGGGACAAGTTGAAACGTAAACAAATGGATTTTATATAATTACGTACTCGTTACGTGTAACTTAAGACTGTTTTCAGATCTAGTAAGTTCTTTTCAAATTTAGTTCGGTAGAGGAGCTTGGACAGTGGAGGTGAGCATTTAACGCGCGTTAGATAGGGACTCCTTAAACCTAAACTTGGGTCGCAAGTCCCAGGCACTGTTGAAGCTCCTCTCCCTGCAAGCGATGTACCCGGCACCCGCACGGTGAATACATGGAATGCTAAGAGGTTTCGTCTCTAGAGTATATATACATATATATCTAAGAAAGTCGTATTAGT